TGATCGATGTGTCTGATTGATCGATGTGTTTGATTGATCGATGTTTCTGATTGATCGATATACCTGATTGATCGATGTTCATGATAGATCGATGTTCCTGATTGATCGATGTGTCTGATAGATCGATATATCTGATTGATCGATGTTCATGATAGATCGATGTTTCTGATTGATCTATATGTCCGATAGATCGATATACCTGATTTATCTGATAGATCAATGTACCGCATACTTGTAAATCCTAAATATACCTGCAGTATTAAGCTCATTCTTATTGTTTTCGACATAGCTGACGTTAATTTAAATCGATTTTGACCAGCATTTGTGACGAATGAAATAGTTACAATGTATTTTCAAATGAACATCAATTTGGTTGGTAGTGGGATATTCGAATAACCAACTACCTACTAGATGGTAGTTGGTTATTTGTGATTTCCAACTATTTAACAGCTGGTAATTCAATCCACTATTTCCGGCATGAAATGTTAGAACAAATCACACATTTTTAAATCCAAAATAAAGGAGCATTGTTGGTAATTCGCGCGAATCCCCAACTACGTACCAGAAAGTAGTTGGTGATTGGGCATGTTTTACCCTTAAAAAGTACTTTTCCGGAATAACATCATACATTCTTAACCCATTACGCGATATACACGCCTTTTAACGCCTTTATCACCCCCTTTTCTGTTGTCTCAAATGGTGAAAAATGCCTTATTTAGGCCCCCAACACTTGTTTTTGTTTGAGAAATTTGTTTAAAAAAGTGACCACTTTTTCGGCGCGGCCCCAAACCAAACGATACATCAGGGGGTTGGCAGAAGGGGGATGTGCCCCCTTCTGTTTGGGGGGGGGGGTTGAAGGGGGCGGCAAGAAAATTTTGGACTTGTGAGAGGCTAAAAATGACCCAGATCGATCATAAGGTAACGTGTAACCAACGCTAAAAAGCATTTGACTATCTCAATCCATTGAGAAGTTGCAGCACTTTAAAATCAATTTTGATGGAAAAAATCAACGCAAAATAGTGATATTAGACAATTTTGAGATGTCCCCTCGTTGCCTTGGTAACAGGAAATTTAAGCCTGAGCATGTTGTTGCAAAGACAATGGTCCAGTCAACATTTGTGCCTAGTTTGATAAGTATTGAAGCAGGTTTTTTATAGTTTTATAGCAATTTGAACTTGTAACGGGAGAGTTTTCAATGAAAACAGCCATTTTTCACAAAATGCTCATGCAGTTGAATAAAGGAGAGGACCTTGTTGGTTATTCGCGCGAATCAACAACTACCTACCAGAAGGTAGTTGGTAATTCGAACTTAGCATGTTTTACCCTCAAAACAGAAAGTACTATTCCGGATTAAATATAACGGATATATGATATAAAGATAGATATGTTCTTCAATGTCCACCAGAGGACACAGCTGGTTTTATTCGCGCTAATATCCAACTGTTGGTAATTCGGATATTGCATATATTCCTCTGAAACAGATAATATGTTTCTGTTTGTTTGTTTAATTGGGTTTTAAGTCACACCGACACATTATAGGTCATATGGCGACGTTCCAGCTTTACTGGTGGAGGAAGACCTCAGGTACCCTTCCGTGCATTATTTCAGGCACGAACGGGAAACTGAGTAGAACCACCGACGTTCCATAAGCTAGCTTGATAGTTTCCTCACATGAAAGAATCCAAAGTCGATGTCGGGATTCGAACTCACAGCGTTGAGGGGCAAGTGGTTTGAAGTCAACGACTTTAACCACTCGACCACGGACGCCCCAATGTTTTTCTGTAACAAATGTTACGGTTATATAACAAGATATGTGTGTTTTCTATAATATGATAACACCCCCTTCTCAATAAATAAACTATGGGACTCAGTTGGTTATTCGCGTGAATCCATAACTACCAACCAGAACGTAGTTGGTTCTAGGAACATTACATGTGTTTCTCTAAAAACAGAAATATATTTTTCAGAAAAAAATATAGAAATATGACAAGATAGATGAATTCTAGCAAATGGTATCACCACCTCTCCCAATGTCGACCAGGGGACTCAGTTGGCTATTCACGCGAATCCCAAACTACCTACTAGAATGTAGTTGGTAATTCGGATATTGCATATGTTCGTCTGAAAACAATAAGCATTTTTATAAAACAAATGTTACGGTTATTTAACGAGATACGTCTTTTCTATAATATGGTTATAACCCTTTCACAATAAATCGACCAGGGGACTCAGTTGGTTATTTGCGTGAATCCCCAACTACCTACCAGAAAGTAGTTGCTACCATTTGCTAGAATTCATCTATTCCCTGGTCGTCATAGGGAGACGGTAGAATAAATACATCTTGTCATACATTTGTTACTTTTATTCTGAATTTCCTTTACTGTTTTTTTCTTCTTTTTTATAAAGAAATACAATAAATGTTCCAATAACCAACTACCTTTAGGTTGGTAGTTGGGGATTCACGCGAATATCCAAGAAGGTCCCCTCTTTTATTCTGTGTTTAAATATGTATGATGTGTTGGAACATTTCATGCTGTGGATTGAATTACCAACTACCAGCTAGAAGGTAGTTGGTTATTCGAATATCTAACTACCAACTACTTACCAAATATTTATTATTTATTATACATGTAGTTATTAGTTAACACTAAGCAGCTGGAAAACAAACACTGTCAAATATTTGATTTTTTATGAGTTTTCAGAATTTGTTATTGTTAGCATAATAGATTTGCCATGTTTGGTTCAAGTTTAAAATCCTTTAAACTTGAACAAGTATAAAACTCAAGATGTGAGATACAAACACTAAAGATCCTGGTCAGACAGAAAATCCCAATCCTCGGGCAATCCGTTCCTCTCTGTACCGTCAGCCGGTGTAAGATCCTTATAATCCTGAAGAACAACATGCATTTCTAAACCACTTGCCTTTTCAGCAAAGTCTTTCAGGCATTTTTTTAAAAATGCAAAAGTATGATTATAAACCATACATAAGAACATACATGTAAATAGTTAACTGAGTCATTTATGTCCTCTCATTATTGTTACATTTGTTTCTAACAGGTGCGCTTGATGTTGTTCTTGGCCTCCCAACAGCTCTTGACAACGCCATGGTTACCCGTGAAGCGGAAGTACTTCTGTTGTCACGAGAAAACTTTGATCGACTATTTATGCGGAAGTATGCCCAGGCTACAATGAAAAAACTTCGAGATCGCCTGATAATGAGATTATACTTGTACATACATAGAGCAGAGTCATCCAATAAATCTCTGACGTCACCATTTCTGAAGTTTTTAACATTCCTGCTTCAAGATGACAGTGCTGTTGAAGACTTAAAGAAAAAGAAACGAAGAGAAAGAGAAATCAAGAAAGGTCTTATACATAACTTAGACGATGCTGATGATATCGACGCTAAAGACGCTCGAGAAGCAGAACAAATTTCTGGAATGTTGAAAATGCTGGATATGAATCCTAAAACTTCACATATTAGATTACCAACTGTAGAGAGTAGTCAAAAGGTTATAAATGAAATCGAAGCAGGATTAAAAAACTGGGTTGACACTACACGAGGAGGTGGCTCACCATTACCAACTCAGAAAAATCATTTGACCGCGCCGTCAGCTGGAGCTAGACGCAAATCATTCCAAGAAGTAAGTGTTATCTAACAACAATATGTTTTTATAGTTATGGTAGATAGATAAATCAGCACTTTTTCAACAAGCAGTCTGTTCGGAATGATTTTTACTTATTTAAGAAAAAGTTTGATACGTGCAAATCATACACATTATAATTTACTTACATTTGCTTGGAAACCTTGCGTACAATTACTTGCTGTAGAATTATTTTCGAACCCCTATTTCGCCGCATATAGCTCAGAATGTAGGTCTCTGAACAGCTTTATTCGTCGGCACCTTATTACTACAATTGCAACGAATATACATGTATATAGCTCCAAACAAAGGGGAGCTGTTTACGTCAAGATGCCTAAATCAGCATGAAATTAGTATTTTTGGCATATATTTGTGTTTTATGTACATTGTATATAACACACGGAATAAGTACATTATCATCAACATTAACATAATCATCAGTACATCATCATCGTCATCACCTTCATCATAATCATCACTATCAGTACAGTATCATTATAGTTATCAGGGCACCACCATTATCAGTTATATGTCGCAACGCCACTTAATGTCAAACTTGTCGCTAAATGTCGCAACCGCCGCTAAATGTCGCAGAACCTTATACAATACAGTTAGATATAGCAACTGTAACGTAGAATGTCACACGATTTTCCCTTACCGTTAAATGTCGCAACATATATATTCATGATTAAATTAAGTTAGCTAGTGATATCATTGAGTAAATGTCCCGATTCATCTGCTGGCTAAACGAAATATGCTATTTAAACGTCATTTCTTTGTAATTTTAATGTAAAACCGATAGAGGCAAATACGCTACATGTTATAATACTCATCTATTAAGTATATTGCTTTGAGTACTTAGGCAAGATTATAACTATACTAGTGTCCATTTACTTGCCCCTCGCCCTGCAGGTTCGAATCCCGCCAGGGAGTTGACTGGTCTGTTAACAAGTTCTATTGCCTCGCTTGCTGTCATTAAAAAGGCTTCTAAAGGTCGACTATGTATAAAGTACTGATCTAAAATTATAATTTTTAATTGAATCTTTATAGAATAATCTTCTCGGTGTGTTAGATCCATCTCTGGTGACGTTGCTTGAACCCACAACATCTAGGTTGCTAAATGAACAAGATATGTTTGTAAAACATGTATGCCCCCTATCGGCAGCCAATTACTCATGTGATCAGGTTATTATGCATGACTTCTGACCCAGTGAACAAACAATTAATAAGGGTTATCAGTTATCTAGTATCTACTGGTCATGACTAGTCACAAGGTAATAATAATTGTGACCCCATAGGTTGTGTGAGGCAATTTAAGTTATTACAAATCTTACCAAATAATATATGCATACATTTTATGAATCATGTAGGCCTCATTAATGACAGCCAAGTTGTTATATTACATAAGACCTTCAAATGTGTATACCAAAAGCATTTTTAGTTTAATATAAAAATATCAACCAAGGCAACTTGAGTTGTTGAGTTATTGGTCAGAAACCGTCATTAAGTACAAGGTCAATATGACATTGACCCCTTGACCCCAAAATCAATAGGGGTCATCTACTGGTCATGACCAATCATCATACCAAGTTTGAAGTTCCTAGGCCTAAGCATTCTTTAGTTATTGATCGGAAACCATTTTTACCTACAAGGTCGATGTGACCTTGACCTTGGACCCCTTGACCCCAAATCAATAGGGGTCATCTGCTTGCCATGACCAATCATCATCCAAGATTGAAGTTTCTAGGCCTAAGCGTTCTTTAGTTATTGATTGGAAACCGTTTTTACCTACAAGGTCAATGTGACCTTGACCTTGGACCCCTTGACCCCAAAATCAATAGGAGTCATCTGCTGGTCATGACCAATCATCATACCAAGTTTGAAGTTTCTGGCCTAAGCGTTCTTTAGATATTGATCGGAAACCGTTTTTATCTACAAGATCAATGTGACCTTGACCTTTGACCCCTTGACCCCAAAATCAATAGGGGTCATCTGCTGGTCATGACCAATCACCATGCCAAGTTTGAAGTTCCTAGGCCTAAGCGTTCTTTAGTTATTGAATCAGAAACTGTTTTTACTTACAAGGTCAATGTGACCTTGACCTTTGACCGCTTGACCCAAAATTCAATAGGGGTCATCTGCTGGTCACGACCAATCATCATACAAAGTTTGAAGTTCCTAGGACTAAGCATTCTTTAGTTAATTGATCGGAAACCGTTTTTGCCTACAAGGTCAATGTGACCTTGACCTTTGACCCCTAAATCAATAGGGGTCATCTGCTGGTCATGACCAATCACCATACCAAGTTTGAAGTTCCTAGGCCTAAGGGTTCTTAAGTTATTGATCGAAAACCGTTTTTTACCTACAAGGTCAATATGACCTTGACCTTTGACCCCTTAACCCCAAAATCAATAGGGGTCATCTGCTGGTCATGACCAATCACCATACCAAGTTTGAAGTTTCTAGGCCTAAGGTATCTGTACTTATTGATCGGAAACCGTTTTTACCTAAGATGTCAATATGACCTTGACCTTTGACCCGTTCACCCCAAAATCAATAGGGGTCATCTACTGATCATGACCAATCACCATATCAAGTTTGAAGCCCTTAGGCCTAAGGGTTCTTTAGTTATTGATCGGAAACCGTTTTTACCTAAGAGGTCAATGTGACATTGACCTTTGACACATTGACCCCAAAATCAATAGGGGTCATCTACTGGTCATGACCAATCACCATACCAAGTTTGAAGTTCCTAGGCCTAAGGGTTCTTTAGTTATCACTCGGAAACCATTTGGTCTACGGACTGACAGACCGACGGACCGACAAGTGCAAAGCAATATACCCCCTCTTCTTCGAAGTGGGGGCATAAAAAAGTATACAATTTATAATACCGACTAAGATAAATTCAAATTCAAAAGATATTTTTTTACATCATAGCAAATTCTTTTCTATTTGATAGATAGCTGGTCCTAAGATCACTTACATAAGTTAATATTGACATAATACTAGTTGTAAATTATGTAAATATGTAAATAATACTAATTTAAATATTGCGAAATTTAACGGTAGAAGATTTTGCGGTGGTTGCGATATTTAGCGGCAACGATATTTAGCGGCAACGGTGCGACATTAAGTGGCAAGTGTGACATTTAGCGACGTTGCGATAAATTACGGCGCAAAAATGATGAATGTGATAATGTGGAAAGCCATGGCTGTCTTATATTGTTCTTTTTCAATTTATTTAACAATTTGGATACTATATAAGTTCACTTCGACTATATATGAATTGAAAACACCTTCTTATTTAACATGAATCCATAATGTTAATCCACAGTTACAATATATGAAACCATACCGTCAGCGTTTGAAACCGAGGCAGCAAAATATAAGTTGTATTAATTAATGAATTATTATATTGATAATTCGGTTTCATTTAAGGACACCTGGTTCCATACATTGCTGCTTTGGTTCCATATATTGAAGAATTGGTACTGGTATCATATAATGTGATTATCAACTTATATATTGATACTTTGGCTCCATACATTGATAAAATGGTTTCATATATTGTAAAAATAAATTAATATATTGATAACTCGGTTACATATAAGGATATCTGGTTCCATACATGGTTACTTTGGTACAATATATTAAAGAATTGGAATCATATATTGAGAAAATCAACTTATATAATGCTACCTCGGTTTCATACACTGACTGTATGGTTTCATATATTGTAACTATGGATTAATATAATGGATTCTGGTTAAATAAGAAGGTGTTTTCAAGTCATATATAGTCGAAATGAACTTATATATTATCCAAATTGTTAAATAAATTGAAAAAGAACAATATAAGACAGCCATGGCTTTCCATATGATAAATAATATATTTTATATTGATGATGGGTGTACTGATGATGTTAATGATGACATAGTTGAAATTATGAACGCGGTGATGGTGGGGTAATTACGATTTTATGATGATACAAATTATGATACATGTCATGATTATTATGATGCAGATGAAGATGGTACTTTATGGTTGCGATTAATGTTTAATTATAGTCAATCTGGGCATGGCCTACGTAGTCATCTTCGGAAAAAAATGGCGGCAATTTCGTTTTCAATATAATGCACTACATGAACAAAATTTTACTGTAAAAAAGTACTGTTTATGTAACAGTACAAAATTTTTAGTCACACGGTACATGAACAATAATTAATATTTTTAGAGTAGCATCTGGAACATTTGTCAAAGTACACAAATGTAGTGATATTATTAATTAGTGATTTTGATTACATGTATCACAATACTTTCAAAATATCGCTACGTAATATAAAAGTTTTTTTTTTTTAAATATCTTGAAACCAAAAATATTCTGCATGATTAATTTAGTTTTGAAAAAAGAAACTAACGTTAGAATGACGATCCGGTCTTGCTAATATGTATGTATTTTAAAATAATTTCAGGACTTCATGAAACCTATTTTTCATCAGACGTCTTCTTTGGCAAGACCAAAAACTCCACAAAAATGATATTTTGAGAGGCTTGACTACTTGGCATAGCTTCACGATGGTCCTTCTTGAGGGTTATAGTTTAAAATACTTGAAAGAACAGGAAGCTTCTTTGTTAGCGATTGTTGAAAACACTTTGACTTATATTAATACATGTATAAACATTTTTACCAGAGGAATTTGTTTCATCTTTTAGGCGTTATATTTTACTATATTTATTGATTTTACTATATTTATTGATTTTTCTATATTTATTGATATAAGTCTATTCTCAATGTGTCTCATATAACATTTACTGTAAATTCCTGCTTACCTTGAAATGTAAATTTTACTTATTATGAAATATAATATCATGATATACATTTTGTAATTATCATATATTTTTATAATTATTTTTTATATAAACACCGTCAAATTTGAAAGTATAGCATCAAAGGGCTAAAATGACATATAAGTCTTTTGTAAACAAAACATACAGATGGTCTTTTTGTCTTTAAACAGATTTTTTGACTGATAAATTCGCTTGTCTTTAAAGGCTTATATCTTAATTATACATGTATGTAAATAAATTGACTTGATTTTTACTTGCACATAGACAATTTACATGTGTACATACCCAACCGGTATTAACGCCGTGACTGTCTTATGTGGGCAATGTTTATGCTATCTTGTGAAACGATGATATTACTTTGTCATTTGAGCATGTCAACATGTGATCATGTCTTGTAAAAGGATCATGCTGACTTGTTCAAATAGCATGTTATCATGTCAAATTACCATGATGACATGTGCAGACAACATGTTAACTTGTCAAAATATCGTGATGACTTGTGCAAACAACATGTTTAACTTGTCAAAGAATATTCATGACATGTGCAAAGGACATTGATCCATAAGACAGTCACGGCGTTCCATACAACGGCTTATCTCTGACAGAGATTAATCTCATGATGCTAGCGATCCTTTGACTACTAATTCGACGCATTTACCACTTGGCCATGTCGCCACTAAACACGAATGGATGGGTGGAGTTAAAATCATTTGTGCCTGAGCTTATTGAATATACATCGTATAGTAAAACATGTTATCATGGTTAACATAATTATAGAAAGAGAACGCTTTGCATTTGCAACCAATTCTGAAAACTGCTTTAAACTGTAGTCTGAATCTTTCGACTTTGAACTGTTACCACTATCGACAATTGAATTAAGCCATAAGTCATAACAATATCCACATATTCATGTAGAATTTTGCCTTCCTTATAATCATGTCATAGATAAACGAAATAGCTTGTAACTGAAGTCCGATTTAAACGAACAACTTTAGAGATTTTTACAAAGACTTTTTGTGCTCAAATACTGGAGGAAATCCAATATTCCGTGGCAAGCTTATTAATCATTTTATTACAGTATCTTTCAACGGTTCTCTTTGTGACTTTATGCTATCGTATATGCTTCAAATAGCGCATACACGTTATAAAGGCAGATATCAAAAATTCGACATAAATAGTACACACAACCAGATTCTTTTAAATAGAAAGACCCTGACACAACAAAAAGGTTTGCAATAGTTTTAAGAAAATGACCATTTTAAAATGAAAAATGAATCGCTGAAATAGGTTTCGAACCTATCCGTTTACGACTACATCCATCAACTGAAACCTATGGTGACTGATTTGTGCCATTCGTGTTTTCGCCCCGCGACCCCGCCAAGCGAAAAGTCGAAAAATAACAAGCTAAAACGGCGAAAACACGCTAATTAGCGTGGGCGCGGGGCGAAGTTTAATAAATAAACTTTCGTCCCACGGGGGCGCGGGCGAGATTTAAGAAATAAAACGGCGGGGTCGCGGGACGAAAACACGCTAATTAGCGCGGGCGCGGGGCGAAGTTCAATAAATGAAACTTCGCCGCGCGCGCCCGCTTATTAGCGTGTTTTCGTCCCGCGACCCCGCCAAGCGAAATATCGGTAATTTAAAAGGCGGGGGCGCGGAGCGAAAACACGCTAATTAGTTTTATTTATTAAATTTCGCCCCGCGTCTTCGCTAAATAGCGTGTTTTCGTCCGCTACCCCGCCGTTTTAGCTTGCTAATTTTCGAGTTTTCGCTTGGCGGGGTCGCGGGGCGAAAACACGAATGACACAAATCAGCCACCATAGAAACCCCTCTATCAACTGTGCTAAGAAGGATTTTTTTAATTTACAGTATTTTAACAATCTGATATTTACATGTCATATAAGGGTTGAGAGAGAAGTCATAATTTGTCCTAATGGGTGAGAGAAGGGCACTCTAAATCACATAATGAGTGAGAGAAGTGTCATATATAATCCTAAGGGTTGAAAGAGAAATCATTATTTTTCCTAATGGGTGAGAGAAGGGCACTATAAACTAGAAATGTGTCATCGTGCCACGGATGCCCCCGCATGCAATAAAAATAAATTTCAGATGTTATAATATTTAGTTCCAAATTTGTTTGCACAAATTATTTTTTTTCATTTTAAGTTCAAAGCCCTTAAAACTATTCAATGTTAACACAAACCATTTTATACAAAGTTCAAGGCACTGAAACTATTCAGTGTTAACCTTTTGTAAATTGCATATGATGCATATTTGTAGCCAAAATAATGGGTACATACATTTCCATAAAAGTACGAGTGCTGAAACTGAAAATTCAAAATTTTTCCATCATTCAAGAAAGATAACTTTGTCCAAAATCATTGAACCACGACAAAATTCAAACTTGAACTGCTTATCCCTAAGATGTATATATATGTCAAATTTGAGTTGAATGTGAACAACCATTGGGGACATAATGAACGGAAACTTAAAATTTCTGATTTTTTTCAAAGTTCAAGAGGGATAACTCTGTCAGCTATCATCGAAACCATGACCAAATTCGAACTTGACCAATGCATTCTTATGACATATCCATATCTTTAATTTGTTGTTGAATATGTACAACTATTGGGGAGATAATGAATTTGAACTGAAAATTTCCTTTTTTTTCAAAGTGAAAGGGGCATAACTCTGCCACAAATCATTGAACCATGACCAATTCGAAACTTGACCTGTGCATTCCTTTGACATATCTATATGTCAAATTTGAGTTGAATGTGTAATACTGTTGGGAGATAATGAACGGAAACTGAAAATTTCATATTGTTTTCAAAAGTGAAAGGCATAACTCTGCCAAAAATCATTGAACCATGACCAAATTCGAACTTGACCTGCAAATTCCTTTGACATATCCATATGTCAAGTTGAGTTGAATGTGTAATACCGTTGGGGAGATAATGAACAGAAACTGAAAATTTCATATTATTTTCAAAGTAAAAGGGGCATAACTCTGCCAAAAATCGTAGAACCATGACCAAATTCGAACTTCGCCTGTATTAGTAGTATAGGCGTCGGTTTACCCCCATGACTGCGCATGCGCGGCGCCATATTGGATTCTATTTTTAGAATGACATCATCGTTCTTTTTTTAGAATGACATAATCGTTCTATTTTTAATCTCCCGGAAGTATACGGAGCTGATTTGTATACCCGATCTATGGCGTGAATCGCGGACATTGAGGGTCAGGTTCTCGGCCCAAGACGGGGAGAAAAATTAGTATCCAAGCATTTTAAAATTGAATGGCAAAAATAATGATTCCCTTTGTTTTATATCCCACACTGCGTACAGTGTACTTGACAACTGATTTAATTATTACTTTAATCAATGTTCTCTATAATACACGTTTAATTAACTCAAATAACTAAAACATTTTAAATGTATTTCTTTATATTTTAAATATCACCTTTAATACATAATTTATTTTATACATTTCAAATAAGTTTATTAACATATTTATTTTAAGTATTCTATATAAACATTTAATAAAAATATACCTCTTTACTTCTTAAGCTCCAGCAACGAAATGACTCCAATATTAAAAACATATCCCTTAATGCGCATGCTCGGATCTGATGACGTCACCAATGCAATGAACAAGCTTCAACATGTCGCGCGTCTATTTATTTTAAGGCCAGCTGGGCGACAATTCAAAGTAAAACATGTCAAATTTGATCCTTTTAAAGCGCCACACGTTGGGGGTTTTTTTAAGGGAAAAAACTTTAATAAAGGTCATTTTTTGCCCCAAGCTAGCTTTTTTCATTATTGGGATGTTTGATTAAGTCGGAAAGTTTAACAAATTCCATTAACTATTAAATTTTAAACCCATTGAAGTTACCACGAGTTGGGTCCTTTTTTTAGAGCGATGGCGGACAAAAGGTCCCTTCAACCAAAATGAATCCCTTTAAATCGCCGCATTTTTTAGTCTTTTATTTTGGAAAAACTTTTAAAATGTCATTCATTCCAAGGCAGCTTTAAATTATTTTCATTTTATTTAATTTGAAAATTAAAAAAGGCCATTTAACTGTAAAAAAACTCTTTAAAGCAGCCCTATTTGCGGTTATTTAATTTTGAAATTAACAATACCTTTCAACGTAAAGATTCCTTTCGGAAACCCCAGATTTTTTATGAACCGTTGAAATATTAGCACAATGATTCTTTAAATGACAAAGATCGTGTTTAATCAAGACAAACAATGGTACATGTGATGTATGTAATTTAATGAATAAAAAATACTAAACTATTGCCAATGAAAAAGAGGTTAAAACAAACATCAGTATAAATAAAATTCTAATGAGTTTTAATGAATGCTGTTTAATATCTACATTTATTTTTTTGATTGATTCAAGCTTACATTTTTTTATCCCCAACATATATTGAGATCATGGATACATGGATAACTTTTCAATAGTAAACGAAGTAAAGAAGAAAATATAACCAAAACAGTTTAAATTTGTTTCTTTCAAAAACTATGTAATTCTTTTACTTCTTGCTTTTCCCCTACATCTTTATATTACTTCCAGATTTTGACGCACAAAACTGCATGTTTCTCATTACTTGGTTTTTACAAGGTTATTATCATACTGCATGT